GGTAACACTGCTCACATAGGGAAAATAAAAGGTTTTTTAACATGGGGCCATAATCCAGCGGCAGGAGGCGGGCGACCAGGCTCCTCCAGTGGCCAGTGGCGAGGTTGGTTCCACCACACCGAAACTATATACATCTCTACTACAGCGACCAATGAGCTATAATCCTCCCAGTAATAGTCCTAAAGACATACCAACACTATATACATCTCTATTACAGTGGCCCATGGGCTATAATCCTCCCAGTCACAGTCCTATAGACATACCGACACTATATACATCTCTACTACCGCGACCAATGAGCTATAATCCTCCCAGACACCGTCCTTTAGACATACCGACACTATATACATCTCTACTACAGCGGCCAATGAGCTATAATCCTCCCAGACACCGTCCTTTAGACATACCGACACTATATACATCTCTACTACAGCGGCCAATGAGCTATAATCCTCCCAGTCATCATCCTATAGACATACCGACACTATATACATCTCTACTACAGCGACCGCAGAGATATAATCCTCCCAGTCACCGTCCTTTAGACATACCGACACTATATACATCTCTACTACAGCGGCCAATGAGCTACAATCCTCCCAGTCACCGTCCTATTGACATACAGACACCATATACATCTCTACTACAGCGACCGCAGAGATATAATCCTCCCAGTCACCGTCCTTTAGACATAACAACACTATATACATCTCTACTACAGCGGCCAATGAGCTACAATCCTCCCAGTCACCGTCCTATAGACATACCGACACTAAATATATCTCTACTACAGCGGCCGATGAGCTATAATCCTCCCAATCACCATCCTAGAGACATACCGACACTATATATATTTCTACTACAGTGGCCAATGAGCTATAATCCTCCCTTTTACCATCCTATAGACATACCGACACTATATATATCTCTACTACAGCGGCCAATGAGCTACAATCCTCCCAGTCACCGTCCTATAGACATACCGACACTATATACATCTCTACTACCGCGGCCAATGAGCTATAATCCTCCCAGTCACCGTCCTTTAGACATACCGACACTATATATATCTCTTCTACAGCGGCCAATGAGCTACAATCCTCCCAGTCATCATCCTATAGACATACCGACACTATATACATCTCTACTACAGCGGCCAATGAGCTATAATCCTCCCAGTCACCGTCCTTTAGACATACCGACACTATATATATCTCTTCTACAGCGGCCAATGTTCTCAGGCTATACCATACATATTGTTTTGGGCATGCAGCACACTTAGGTTTTATAGAGTAATTTTTCAATACCCTTTATACTTGTTGATTAACAATGAGACACTTTCTCCTGCTCTCCTTTCTCCACTTTACTCTATCGTATTTTAATTTTAGGATCTTGTTTAAATAAAGCTTTTTATTATTTTTGTTGTTTTGCCATTACCTTTGAATGACTCTGCTTAGGAGGTAATTTCAATAAGGAGGGTTTCTACCTTTGTTAGGCAGATTCCTTTACCTTATTTGTATCTTTTTTCTAACACAATTACATATTTATAAAGTGATGGGGAAGACAATAACCAGCATACAATATCTCTCCTGCCTGCAGAATTAGCAATATGCAAATTACCAGTCTTGCTATTCAGGTAGTGCATATTGCTGTTGCTACCAACAGAGGCACTTCACAGGCTCCATAGCCAATCCACCTTTTTGGTACCAAACATCAGCAGGACAGGAGAGCGCACAAAACATTTAACCAAAATCAATTATATTATGTACTACTGCACCTACAATGGACGCAGGGTGACAACAACAAGAACAATTCAGGGACCTATATAAAGTGTCCTTCTGCTCCCAGCGATGGTGACTACCGTCACACTGATTAACATTCTTTATTACTCCCTTGAGCAGACAGAATTTCCTTCTGCGATCAGTGATCCCACCGGTCTCAGTAAGCCTTGGTTGTATGTAATGCCAAGCTACGTGTTTCAGACGACATTCAGGACTTTCTTCCTCTCGGAGTCTCGTTTTTATAGCCTAAATCAAACCAGGTATCCCATGTATCAAGAACATTAACCCTAACAAATGTAATTTAATCTGATTAGATTCAAACGTGAACAAAGCCCAGTAAGGGAAATCCTAAAAACGAAATTAAAATTAAAAATGCAAAACACTTTCTTTAGAGTTAACTATATCTCTCTTTCAATGCACACTACTGCCACCAGGTGGCTGATAATCAATGCATACTATTGCCTCCTGGTGCCTGATAATCAATGCATACTACTGCCTCCTGGTGGCTGATAATCAATGCATACTACTGCCTCCTCGTGCCTGATAATCAATGCATACTACTGCCACCTAGTGGCTGATAATCAATGCATACTACTGCCACCAGGTGGCTGATAATCAATGCATACTACTGCCACCAGGTGCCTGATAATCAATGCATACTACTGCCACCAGGTGGCTGATAATTAATGTATACTACTGCCTCCTGGTGGCTGATAGAGTATGGTGCAAGTAACACTGTGTCTTGTCTTTGCAGCAGGGAACATGATACAAGAGCTGATTCAGATACTAGGAGACTCTCACAAACTGAGCCGACCAGCCCTGCATCTACTACTCCAGCCTCACCTGACACAACTCAGCCTCCGACCCTGCGCCGGCCTCATCAATAACAACCTCATTCAGCTAGTGAGTGTGCGCTGCAAGGTGAGTGTGTACTCCTGCTTGCTCTATATAAACCTGTCTCTCTATAACTCCAACTGCTGACTCTATGTAGTGAGTAATGCAATAAGAGTACAATACCTATAGATATATTATAGTTCATATACTGCCCCCACAGACACTATATACAGCTCTCCTTCCATACACTGCCACCACTGACACTATATACAGCTCTCCTTCCATACACTGCCCCCCACTGACACTATATACAGCTCTCCTTCCATACACTGTTCCCACTGACACTATATACAGCTCTCCTTCCATATACTGCCCCCCACTGACACTATATACAGCTCTCCTTCCATACACTGCCCCCACTGACACTATATACAGCTCTCCTTCTGTATACTGCCCCCACTGACACTATATACAGCTCTCCTTCCATACACTGTTCCCACTGACACTATATACAGCTCTCCTTCCATATACTGCCCCCACTGACACTATATACAGCTCTCCTTCCGTATACTGCCCCCACTGACACTATATACAGCTCTCCTTCCTTATACTGCCCACACTGACACTATATACAGCTCTCCTTCCATATACTGCCCCCACTGACACTATATACAGCTCTCCTTCCATATACTGCCCCCACTGACACTATATACAGATCTCCTTCATATACTGCCCCACTGACACTATATACAGCTCTCCTGATACCGCCCCCACTGACATATACAGCTCTCCTTCCGCATACTGACACTATATACAGCTCTCCTTCCATATACTGCCCCCCACTGACACTATATACAGCTCTCCTTCCGTATACTGCCCCCCACTGACACTATATACAGCTCTCCTTCCGTATACTGCCCCCACTGACACTATATACAGCTCTCCTTCCATACACTGCCCCCACTGACACTATATACAGCTCTCCTTCTTTCCCCTTTCCCTTGTTTTTCCATGCTCTAACTCTGCTCCCTGTTTTTAACAGTTTCTCACGTCATTGGATCTGCACTCCTGCCATCGCGTGTGCCCTCCATTTCTCGCTCAGCTGGTGGAAGGATTGCCCCGTCTTGTGAAAGTCTGCCTGTCAGACACTCAGTGTGATACTTCTGTTCTATCCTCTCTCAGCATGTCCTGTCAGAGACTATGTGAACTGGACATTTCCCACTGCAAGAAGCTGACGCCATCTTCCCTGCTATGTCTGGGATACAGCACGAAATCTGGCACTTACTGCTGCCAAGCTCTGCGGGTGCTGCTTGTGCAGGACTTTAAGACCCATAATTCCCAGGAGAAGTGGGTGCATGCACTGACCTTCCTGCTGTTGGCTCTACCCAATCTTGAGCAGCTTTCTAACCCGCTGCTCCCTGATGCTTTGCGCCTCATCCATGGCCACCATTTCAACTTGGCTGCTACCAATCCTGGTGGCTTCCCTTCACTGGTGGAGCTGGCAAATACCAGAAGAGCTGCTGCTAAGTGTAATGGACTCTCCAATGTACCATACCAGCTTAAAGTAGTTAGTGACCCAGGGGAAGGGATGACTGAAAGGAGAGTTACAGGAGATGGCTTCATCCTACAGTTAAAGAGACTTGAGGACTTACAGGAGGAGGATGTGCTTACAGTTGGGTGTATGTGTCCAGGAGTGGAGGAGATGGCCATCTTACTTGGAAATCAGTCCCATTTGGGATGGAGCCTTCTTCAGTGGCCATCCCTCACCCACCTTACTTTGCATAGCTCTGATCACCCCAGCCGGACGTTAGAAGAATTGCTGCCTTTACTGACTACTTCTGGAGAGAGGTTTCATTTCCTTTCCATTCAGAATGTGCTGTGGAATGATGGACGGTCACTCCAGGACTTACTGACCAGGTGTCCAAATCTCCATACATTCCAGGCTCATTTCATGCCCAGATGTTGTGCTGTTGTGCTGGACAATGAAGCTGATGTAGAGCTGCCTCCCGTGGGGGAAGATATGATTCCACTACCCAAGTTGCAGAATTTTACTCTGTTTTTGGAAGAGGGGGATCTTTTGCACCACCACTTTAAGAACACCATCGGTCGATCCTTGGTGTATCTCTTGCGTGGTAGCTTAAAACTTGAAACCCTGTTTCTTTGTGGGGTTCCATATAAATTGGATCTGGTGTTTGAAACCATTTTAGTATCCACAACTCCTCCCCTCCCCAGATTAAAGGCTGTGTCCCTATGTCAAAGTAATGTGACACCATGGGGTGTATCTCTGCTCCTAAGATTAGGTAACACGCTAAAAACGGTAGACCTGTCCCACTGCCGAGATGTCACATGCAGAGATCACCACAGACTTCAGGAAAGAGTGCGAAAGGAACGCCTGGATATTAACATCAAATGGCAGTGACCAACATTGATCAAGGCTGCTCATGGTGGGACACAATCTGGTGTCTTTTTACTAAAATCGTCTCAGTTGTCTTTTTGAGACAAAAGAGACATTATTAGGGTAGAGCGGGCCCTCAGAAAGATCATATACCTCAGCTATTACTCTTGTAAAACATGCCTAAAGAGGCGATTGGTCGCCTGTAGCAAGCATGCTGTACATGTTGATGTCAGATACAGTTTATGCACAGAACTGATATTTTCCAGCCCGAATCTCTCATTCTGGCTAATGATGCTTTTGTAGGGGGATTTACTCCTTCGACATTACATTTCTCTATCTTTGTATGTGTAGCAGTACATAGCATTTTGCACATACTGACTCCAAGCACCATGATCACTGCAAATTACTGATGTTGTCATGGTTCTTGGAGTACATTTTTGAATGTACTTAAAGGACCATTATAGGCACCCAGACCACTTCAGCTTAATGAAGTGGTCTGGGTGCCAGGTCCATCTAGGGTTAACCCTTTCTGCTGTAAACATAGCAGTTTCAGAGAACGATGGGCTCCGGATAAAGGCTCATCAATAACACTGAGGGATTTTATTAGGCTTGATGCACGCTCCTCCATATGGCTTGGGCTAAAGACTCCTACAATGTTGGGGAAATCATACATAGATGCATATTATTATTATTATTATTTTTTTTTTTTCTGGGAAAAGTTTGTCAGGGTTTCAGAAAATAAATATATTGAGTAATATATTTTCTCATTATTGTTTTTCTTTTCCCTTCCTTTATTCCATGTGTTATTTATAACTAAGTAAGCTTTTACAATACTGCCATGCTTCTGGCTGGATTGTGTCATAGCACCTAGGCTAGTCTATCTCTAGAACAGCAGTGTGCCCCAATAATTACGGGGGGACCCTTCGGTTCCTTTCCAGGTAAGATTACATTCAGTGCTTAGCTCTGCCATTAAAGCATGAAAACTGGTAAAGAATAGCTTAGAATTGATACAGATCTTGCAAAGATCCCTAAGGTGAGATGTCTGCTTTGCTTGCTGGGGGAAAACTTACCTGATGCTCTCCCTAGCGGCACTGCTATTTTATTTCTTCAACTCTCATCATTTCATCCACCAAAAGCGCACGTCCGTTGTGTATTCTAGAGAGCTGTAGAGGATCCCACGAGATGGCAAGATCCTCCGTAGACCTGTTAGAGAATGCTCTGGAAATTGGCAAAAATTGTTGGCAGAAGCTCCACTTTGTCATCTTAAGCCTGGGATCTACAGAACTCCCTCTGGTAAAGATGTCTCCTTCTGGGTGCTCCTCTGCCCTGTTGGGTAGTAGAATGGGAGCCCTTGTATTTTATCAACTGACCTGTCTTGTCATTTGATGTCCTAAAGGTTAACACACTGCTCACCTCCAATTATAAATGTCTTCCTCCGCCAGAACCTAATCCAACAAGCTGTCAACTGTCCTTAGAGATGTCCTTTGACTAATTTCACATATTCCACATGTACCATCTCAATATAAAATCGCAATAATAGCAATGAAAATGACAATTGGCATAACACCTAGCGATACAAGCCTGCCTGCCTATAAAGAGCACTGAATCACCAGCTCTCTGTGGTGGCTTGCTCCGAAATCTATAGACCAATGTAGTGAACGTTTGCACATATTGAAGAAAGCTGGTTAAGGGATCTGAAAGACTGGGTGGATATGAGCTTTGCACTTGATACGTATGTATCTATTTTATGAATCAGGGCTACTGATCGCTCTAAGCTTAGCGGCACTCCACATTTCCTGAAAATACATTGATAAAAACTGATGCTGCTGGTGACAAGGAGATCCCTGCTGAAAAGCAACCTTTGGAATGAAATGGCTCCAGAATGGATTAACCCCTTCAGGTAAGTGGCACCATAACAACTTCATATTGATGAAATGTAGAAAGTGACAGCAGAAGAACCAATCGGCCCATCTAGTCTGCCCTTGTTATGGTTCCTTTAAGTGGTTTAAAAAACCTACCAACAATACCACAAGTGTTTTTAATTTATATTTCAACACGAATGTTAAATGAATGCTATTATGCTATACTTGGTATGTTTATTGGGCAGGATGTACCACGCAAGGAGAGTCTTGAAATACGTGAAGTGAACTCGTCTCAGACACTATCCATTACATATTAAATTCCGAGCACAAATATATATATATATATATATATATATATATATATATATACACATATTGTAGCGGATGGCATTGGTGCTGTCCTCAGAATGTGTATTCGTATGTGTTCGGTTAATTTTTGCCATATGTATGTAAAGCGTATGCAGCATTCGACTGATTGTTCGGTAAAATCACTCCAGTTATTATGCGAGTGAAACTACCGAACAATCAGACCACCCCAGGAATAAGTGTGCCTCCAATTACTGTTCGCAACAATGTTGCAAACGGGTAATTGGTAGTGATGTCCCGAACGGTTCGCCACGGACGGCGAACATATGCGCTGTTTTGAGTAAACTTTGACCTTGTACCTCACAGTCAGCAGACACATTCCAGCCAATCAGCAACAGACCCTCCCTCCCAGATCCTCCCACCTCCTGGACAGCATCCATTTTACATTCATTGTGAAGCTGCATTCTTAGTGAGCTGTCCAGGAGGTGGGAGGGCCTGGGAGGGAGGGTCTGCTGCTGATTGGCTGGAATGTGTCTGCTGACTATAAGGTACAGGGTCAAAGTTTACTGAAAACAGCGCATATGTTCGCCGTCTGCTGCGAACCGTTCGGGACATCACTAGTAATTGGCAATCAGTGCAGTGTGTGCTTTGTCCTCTGGGTGGCCACCATTCGGGAGACGAACACGTGGCGGCGGCCATCTTAAACTCCCAAACAGCGGTGTGGCGAAACCGGCCTCGCCACGTGTCCTTGGAGGGCGCTGCTTGCCCGCCTCTTGCCTTTGGACTATGGACCAGACTTTATGTGAATGTGTTAACCCAGATAGCTATGCCATGGAGCCCATTCGTGTAGTTAAAGACTTTGGCTCCATGGCAATTGAACTGTGTGAATAGGATCTGAGCGCTATTCGGTAGTTTTGTGCGCTCAGATCCCAGCTATCTGGGGATATGTGAAATGTCTGTGTGTTATGGGTAAAAGGTGACTTTATGTATTTTAAAGTGTTTTGTGTCTTTTTGCAACCATGTGCTTAATGGAGTCTTGTGTCTGTCCTGGGAGATAATTGAATTACTCTCCAGGATAGAAGACTCTGAAACTGGTTTGGGCCAGAAAGCCATGCTTCATTTAGTCACAAAGGACTTTTTACTAACTTTTGAACCCCTTGTCTGATTTGTGCCATTTTTGAATATGTTGTTCCCCTGAATGGATTGATTGAGAATATGTAATTTTATGTGAATGTGATGTATGGATTTGGAGTTATGAAAGTTGGGTAGAAAGTATGTTTTAACTGTTGTATAATTGAGTTTCCTCTCAGGATAAGGGGAGGGAATATGTGGGATGTAACTGTGATGTGATTGGTTGTTTTATACCTCCCTGTGGGCGGTCCTGTATTTGCAAGACTGTAATAAAAACTAGGCTGGGTGTGCCAGCACCTGAGTTCCTGTTTTAACCCTCAAAGTGAAGTGTCGTCTCATTATTGGGGGAAGGATTTATTGTATGCTGTTCCAGTTTGACTGCTAGGAGAGTAAACCTATTCGTATGGTTCCTATTCAACTGTCTACAGCATTCATATGCTTGGGAGAATTTATTTGTTTCTCCGGTTCGGTGATTGTGGTGTCTGCCAGAGTGCTTGGAGTCCTCAGGAAGCGCTAGGAGCATCCTTCAACGGAGGTACCCAGTCGGGGTGCCAGGCGATCCGTTACAAGCGGTGTTTTGCCGTCGAGTGTCTGGAACCCAGGGCCGTCTTTAACATTGATTGGACACTGGGCAGGCATTTGTTTGGGCCCCCTGGATCCTGCCATCCCTCGCCCTCCCCCCACACTTTCACTCTCTGGCATGCAATCACGCCCTCCACCCCAACACAGTGGCAGAACTAATGTAGACAGGGCCCTGGTGCAAGACATTGTTTTGAGCCTCCCCTCTAGCGCAAGAGCAGAGAAAAGATAGATCCTCATCTGTTGTACAATTCCAACGATGCTATGCCAGCTGGGGATCTACCATTTGTCCATTTTTGCAGGGCTGTATTTGTGAGCAGTGTTTGTGCATTTGAATGTGAGCATGTTGTTGTATACAGTATGTGTGTGCATGTGTGGTGGAATCTCGGTAAAAATAAATTTAGTAGGCCGAGATTACCACGTGGCATGTGTACGTGCATATGCTGACGTATCGATCAGTTGGTTGCACGAGGCAAGATACGATCAGTAGTGTACGGAGCATGTGCAAGAATACAGGATGTAGTATTCCCCTCCTCCATTGTGCTGGACAAGCCATGCGGTCAAGCAGGAAGTTAATTCTTATTTGTAATGATTGGTCAAGAGAATGTGCGGGTGGAGCTTAATATGGGAGGAGTTATGTGCCTATATAGGGAGCCTGCACTATTGTTCAGGGCTCAGAACTTGCTGTATTTTTGGTGACATTAGTCCCTCTGAGTCCCGATCGGTGATCCAATAAAGAATCTCTTCCTTCCTGAAGAAACCTGTGTCCATCCCTCTGTGCTTTGCTTCCGTCAGTTTCTCCGGTATCATTTGGTGCATTGGCCGGGAAGCTCATCGTTCAACGGTAGCTGAGAGGCAGAGGCGTGAGACGGTCTATCTTTGCCCACGTTCTCTACGGCTGCACCCCTGAACTTCTGCGTGGACCTCCCTTCGTCTCGGCGCCACTGGTCTGTTGTCCAGGAGATCATCGGCCTCTACGTAAGAAGTGCTGGGGTGTCCCCGTCGATGAGTGTGAACTCAGGTTCAGGAACGAGGAGGTAAGACAACTGCTGTTTTAGACGGCAGACCCACTAGGGGTATACCGATTGTGCGGTAGGCCCAAAAGGGGTTTAAATCTGTGTATGGAATCTGCCCCCTCTGTCGGAGGGAAGGAGCGAAGGCGCACCGCTCGATCGAACGCTCTTTAGTAAGACCGTTTGATCTGGTTAGTCAGGCGGGGTCCTGTGTAAATAGCCCTAGCCGGACACCGGTGTCTTGTCTAGACTAGCGTTCTAGGGTGTATATTACGTTCGCTAGGTCGGAGGGACCGGGAGACTAAGCGGCGCCTGTGTAAATTCGGTTCGCTAGCTCTCAACCTATCTTGGCTAAGTGGGAAGGCGTGTAAATTTGGAACCCACTAGACTTTTGATAGAGTAAATAGACTAGAAGGGCAATTTTGTAAATTTCGCCCTCTAGTTCGCTATATGTGGTGTTTGGGCAGTGTGGCTAACCAAAACGGGTGTATATAGTTTTAGGTAGTCCATTCAAGGTACTGGCCAATAGTTTAGTTGGGATTGTAAATGTGTTAAAGATTGTTAGTAAAGTGTATATCTTGTTAGATAGCGCGAGCTCAGCCGTCTAGCGAGAGTGTTAATAGTGTGTTGCTGTATCATAGTGCACGGTACCATAACCCTGTATATTTACTGACACTGTATATAAGTACTAATCATTGTCGTCTATTGCATGTTTAACACCGTAACCACTAATAATTGTATTGTGACCTTAAATTGTGCTTTGACCTATGCTAACCGTACTGTAACCGATACTAGTAAAAGACGATGTTACTGGGGTGTGTTATAGACGGGTAATTCATATATAGAGAATTATAGCGTGGGTGACTGTATAGTTTCGCCAAAGGGCATAATATTGATTATTTAGTGACTGGTGTAACAGCTGTGTGTGTACGGGAATTCCCTGAGTGATTATTGTGTTATTGTGTACGTTTCACTCGGTAACTGTACCACGTGGTGCTGTTGCCAGAGGAAACGGGTGTGACTGTTGAATAAGAACGCGTGCATAGTATTCGTTGTCAACGACGTTCCATTGATAAGTATGGGCGCGTCAGAGTCA